TAAACTTCTCCTACATTCTGTGACATTAATCCTACTATATATTATCAAGTTTATGTGCTTTCTTGTTTTCATTTCTCACCCAATATTAGTTACCAGAAAAAAATAAAGTTGTTATCACATTTGACGCATGACAACAATAAGAGCAAGAATAATGAACCAAACCCGAATCAATTCTCACATTTCACATCCCAAACCCATAAAGCTAAATCCTTGTTACAAGAAACATGGAATGATCCAAAAAAAATCTTTGCCAACCAGGTAAGGAGCTCAACTTATATTCCACCAGAGTACAGAGCTTCCTCCCAGTCTATATCCTCTTCCTCCCCTCTGCTTCTCATCAACAGTAAAATCCTCCTAACCTTTCTCTAGTACAGTCACTTCCTTTTGCTTCCACCTTTCACAGCATTTCTGCAGCTATTGCCTTTTAGCCAGCCACTTGAACCTCTGGCTGCCATGGTTCAGTGCAAACAATGCTGCCACGGTTCAGTGCAAACAATGCTGCCACACAGTTCACTTGGGTTGGCTCAGCTCCAGTTTCAAAAATCTTCAGTACCACTTACAAAGAAAGGCTATGCTTCCCGGTTGTAAACAGAAAGCAACAATGAATACAATGGTAACTGTCAAAATCAGCTAGCAAGACATAATCTGATTTCTAGGAACACGTCTTTATGACCATCAACACGAGTAACAAAAATATTTAACATATTATCATGCTGTAAAAGAAAGTATGAAGTTTTCAAGTTAATAATAATAATGTAATAGGGAAAACAAGATAAATTATATAAACCAAAAATGAAAATTAAAAAGTATACAACTTTGCCTTATCCACCTAAATCTCCAACAACTATAGGCTGCTTAAATTCATATTTAAGATCACAGACAACCACCATATTATTATTATTTTTTAAAGCAGTAGCTTAGCTTAGATCTCAGTGAAATTACTATAGGTTTTATAGTCACCAAAAACATTTGCTTTTACTAAAGACACTATCAAAGCACAATTCATAAACTGGTTAACCAGCAGACTCACCAAGGATACAAGAGACTCATATGCTTTAAGCCTCAAGTTTCTCTCAGTCTCAGCACTAGACACTTCATTACCAAAGGAACAATGGAAATCCCGAAAAAAAAATAAAGAACAATTAATTGCAAAATCAAACAAAAAAAAAAAAAAAAAAAAAAGGAACAAGTGCAAAAGTCCAAGAAAAAAAAACCTTCAATAAAAAAAACCGCCCAAAAATAAAACGCAAAGAAAAAAAAACAAAATCAGGGGAAACAAAACCAACAAAATTTGATGGAAAATATTTTTTTATTTAATATTTTGACTGAACTTGGAAAATCCCAAGCTGCCTACGTACCCTTTAAAAGGATCAAGTCAAACGTAGTTCTAAAAATATTTTTTGAGCCGTTCACAGTTTATACTCATGCGGGCCAGGAGTATTACAATTTTATTATTCTTCTTTATGACAAGGAGTATCACATGAGACCAATCTGCAAACAATCTTTGTCCACAAGCTAGTACGCCCTGTTCCATGGTGTCTTCCTGAAATAAATTCTCAAATGTAAGTCTGAAGTAAAGACAGCAATTTCAGTTAGGAAGTGACAGCAAAATGCTTAGGAAACAAAAGGCACCATATTGAGTAGGTGCAGAGGATTTATTATCCAACAAAAGGCAAATTAACACCAAAGCTCTTCCATTCCCAAGTGAAGAACTTTAAATCCCATTTTAGTAGCTATCTGCATCAATGAATTGAAAAGAATTAATTAAACAATTTAATCACATTTCTATAATAAGTTAATGAAAAATTAGGAAAGACAAAACAAACCTGGTCAGATTGTTGGATTCTATGTGCAAGTGAAATTGGAGTTGGTAGAGTTGGAGGAAGATATTGTGGCTGCAGTTGAAGCCAGGAGTGCTGAAGAATCTCAGGAATGGTAATTCTGTCCACTTGATCAAACCTAAGCATTTTGCGGATTAAGTCTTTGGCTCCAAAAGACAGGTGCTCAGGAAGATTGTAGATTCCAGCCTGAAATTAAGAGGAATAAGTAAAACTCATACTGAGATTGAAGGAGTTTTAAGTATTACAAATAAAAATAAAGAATTATTCCACTTACTTCCATCTTCATCAATTCATCAGGACCAATATCTTGTCCAAAAGGAAAGTCACCACAAAGTAGAGCATATAATATAACACCACAACTCCATATATCAGCTTCAAAAGCATAAAATTTGCCAGAGAGCACCTACAAAATTTTAACAGATTAATATATAAAGTAAACAAAAAACAATCTTAAATATAAATTCATTTTTCAAAGCAAGTATTTCATTCATTGATATGTACCTCTGGGGCAGCATAAGGTAGGCTTCCAACAGACTCTCTTAGACGATGATATTTGAGCATTTTGCTCAAACCAAAGTCAGCAATTTTCACGTCACATCTTGAACCAAGAAGCACATTCTCGAGCTTAAGGTCTCGATGCACAATCATGTTTCCATGACAATGATTCAACCCACAAATGATCTGATGACATTAATTTAAAGAAAGTTGATTACATACTGATTCAAATTCTCAAAAAAAATTAATAATTACAACAATTTTCATCAACAATGTGCTACACTACCACCACCAATGACTGGAAATTTGCCAAATATATGTGAAAGTATTGGGAGATTTATAAATGTTTGTGAGACTAATCAGGCTAAATGTATGCATACCTATGCTATCAAGAAAACTAAAAAAGCAATGTACTACATGCTCACTAATAACAAAACAGCAGGTCACAAAAGGTATACAGTAGGCAGGTGAGCTCAAAACTCTCAATACAAATGAATACAATCATATTTCTCCTTAAGCAACAAGCAATTAAACATAAATGAACTGCAGAATTATTTACACAAACCAACTACCCCAAACTAGATGCCCCAGCAAAGCATTCACTTCCCAGTTAGCCACATGCCACAGGTTAACATTTGTACTTTCAAAAGTATGCAGGATGCAAGATTCGCAAAACACATATACACTCAAATTCCCACAACGTATAACACAGCATCTAGACATTATCAAATTAGTAATTAAAACAAATGCAGGTTAATAAATTGATTCATACCTGTTGGAAAATTTTTTGTGCCTTGCCCTCAGAGAGTTGGCATCTGCCATTCTTTTGTTTAAGTAGGTAGCTAAGTAGATCCCCATTCTCAGCATATTCCATTACAATATATGTATGATTTTTTGTATGAATTTCCTCCTCTAGTCTAATAATATTAGGATGCATCCCCAGCACTTTCATAATCTGAATTTCTCTATTAATCTCTGCATTAAAAATAACATAGAATCAGTAAAAATAATATGAAAAACTCAACTAATCCTAGAATCAATACATTAAAATCATCAATTGATGATATCACGCATGCATGTAATTTGTACATACCAATCTCATTATGTTGAGAATCAATAATCTTGATTGCCACATTGTTACTGGTCATCATGTCCTCAGCTAGGACGACCTCACCAAAGCTGCCGCTACCGAGGGTTTTGAGAAAGCGGTAGTTCACAATACCATTCATGTTTCTTTCCTGGAAAAACAGAAAAGAAAGTTTAGGTTAATTAAGATTCTTAAGACTTGAGAAACTCAATCGATTAAAAAGAATTGACTGAGTCTTACTTTATGAACAAGAATGAATGTAGAACACATACAGCAATTAATAAAATTATTTATTTCAAATAATTGTTATTTTTATCGTACATGCATGTTTTTTTTTTTTTTTTTAATCGTACGTGCATGTTGGAACTTACGAAAATAACAAAGGTAGCGATTGAAACCCTAGCCAGTACTAAAGGGAAAATATAAGTAGATGTTTTGCATTTAAAAAGACAACCAAACATACAAGAAAAAAAAAAGACAAAAGCAAAAGTAATCGAAGTGGAACTTACTTACGATCGATGGGAAGAAACAATCGAATGAAGAGAAGTTGAAGTTGTTTGAAACCTTGGAAAGAGAAAATGTTTCCAAAGATTTTGGGATGGAAGAAGAAGAAGACAAAGAAAAAGAACCCCCGAAGTCCTTTAGCTCGATCGATGGAAAGGGATACGAGTAGAGTAGGACTGTGGTAAACGGCGGCTATTTATAGACTTTGAAGGTCTCTTTTGGTCATTTTCTTTGATAATTTGGCTTGTTTCTATTGGCCAAAACTAGTTTGCTTGGCTTATTAAATGTGAATTGCTGACCTGGCAAGCGGTGATGGTTAAGGGGTCCCCGCACTTTGCTGAAGTGTTAACTTAATCTATGCTGACATGGGGAATTGGCCGCAAAATTAAAAGGCCAGGCATCCTTTTTGTTATTTCCCCTAAATAAAACTGCCGTTTGGAAGCCAATATTTGCTCCGATCCCCATGGCTTCGTAGGTAGGGATGGCAATTCTCCCCGTTCCTCGCGGGGCTCCGCGGGGATCTCCGTCACGGGGATGGGACGGGGAGGAATATTTCTCCTTGCGGGGCGGGGACAGGGACGGGGAGGAATATTTCTCCTTGCGGGGCGGGGACAGGGACGGGGATCATTTTCTCCTCGTGAAATTTCACGGGGAATTTTCTCCGTCCCGTGGGGCCCCGCGAGGATCCCCATCCTCGAAAAAAAAAAGTTTTTATTTTAAAATTAATTTATTCTTTAAACTCAAACCCAAACCCAAATTTAAACCCAAACCCAAACCCAAATTTAATCCAATTACAATTAAATTTAACCCAATACTATCCAACCCAACCCAACTCTCAACCCAACCCAACCCAACC